ATAGATACATATATATTTTTATTTTTATTATAACACATCCTCCAGCTATATTTATTCTCTCTAAGAGGCAAACTTCAGACCATTAACGACAAGCAACCCGGAGATAAGCATCTATTGCCTAATTCTCACCCATTTTAAATATCATACAATATTTTCGCACAGTTTATAAAGACACTGGCTGACACTTTATAAACACACACAATCAGATATTGTTGTTACTGCTGCTGTTGTAGTGTGTATATGTATATGTATATAGAGTTAATCGACTGTTGTCGTTGATATCTGAACTTACCATCGTAACAGACCTCGGAGTGGGGTATGCAAAGCGTCCTAACAAACTGGCAGCCTGCAAGCGAAACAAAGAAAGAAATCCACATGAAAGAGTTGTTAGCACAATGTAGACGAAAGAAAAACCAAGAATAATGGGCACAACAACAAGTTTCAGTTAAGACATAATAATGTGGTAAAAGCCAAATCAGCATTACCCCCGCACCAAGCAAACGCTGGCGAGGCACAGGCACCACCCGAATCACTCGAACCAGCAGCGACGGCGGCAAACGGTTTAGAGTTTTGGCACGTCGCCATTTTGTCGTTGCCTGTTTGCGGTTGTTGTTGCTGCTGTTGTTGTTGTTGTTGTTGGTGTCATGTAGCACTTGCTTGGCTCTTGGTTGAATAAACGCTTTTTATGAGCATGTCGCACATGACACACGCCACACACACACGCACCACATCACTCACACACACACACACACAGACACGCATCTGTACCCACAGCAACAGACAAACTGCAAAATATCCCGACAGGATCCCCAAAAATGCTTCTCAGTCAAATAGCTCTGCTCACCAAGCGATTGTTGTTGTTGCCGGTGCTGTTGGCTGTTGGCTGTTGGCTGTTGGCTGTGACGTCAAGACAAGAGACTGAAAAATGTGGCACTTTCTTGTCGCCATCTTCGACGGGGCGCACATGAGCCACCAGCTCACGTTGCCCACGTCAACGCCTGTCATTACACGCGCAGAAGACAGCCGCTCGCTCTCGTTCTCGCTCCCACTTAGACTCTTACTCATTGGAAGCAACTCCCACTCCTTTTCCCATTCCCTTGTTCAAAAACTTTGTTTCTTTTTTCTGTTTTGCTTGTCAACACGAAACACGCTGCTTTTGGCTGCGCTTTAACTTTTCCCTGTTGACGCACCAACATTTCTTGGCCATTAATTAAGCCGCAGTAATTTGTGTGCGGGCAGCCGTGGGTTAGTTTCCAACCCACCAAAAACGCTGCTGCCCCTCGCTCACTCTCCCTCTCTATCTCTCTCTCCGGATCTAACGACCCCACATTCATTCCCAATTGCCAGCGGCCTCGCGTACTGAGCACTTTAGGCGTTTGTTTTTTAATTGTTGTATAATTGCAGGCCGAGCATGGCTGAAAATTAATCTCTTGAGGGCCACTTTACATGCCCTGCCATCAAATAGAAGCGGCCACAGTCAACATAATTTGGTTTCTTGCGAGCAACCAGAGAGATGGCGACTGAATAGAGCGTAAGCATAATATTGACTTTGGCAACTGACCGGGTTAGGGAATATAATAAATAATATATGTAATTGAAATTAGAAATTGCAGGAGAATGGTTGTGGAACTGTAAACAACTTTTTTCTAATTTTAAATTTGTTTTCTAACTTATCTAATTCATCTTTAGAGTTAATCTGTGTCCCAAGCTGTAGCTAGAAAACATAAAGAAAATGTATTATATCAATTTGAACTATTTTCTGTATAATGATAATCATTGTGTTTCAAAGTTGCCTGAAAATATTTCCTAGATCTAGAAAAAATACCTCAAAAATACCAAAAATATGACGCTTGAACGCAAGTAATAAGTTTATCGAGACGATTTTTAAGCCTAAGGTTTTTTATTTTATACGTAAAGATCTCTTGAAACCTGATGCCGGTTTACCTTTTGTTTCTTTAGAAATAATTATAATTTATTATCCACGTCCACTTTGAACTTTTTCTACCCAGCTGCAGAGTATGCGTCAGTCGTTCACATTGTAGGTACAGGCACACTCTGTTTTTATGTCACTGGCCTGAACCTTTTTTGATAAGCGCCCAAAATAATATGCATAATTTTAGCCGTTTTCACGCCATTACAAATTAAGTAGACCCTATTTTGTGGGTCTGTTGAAAAAAGTGTTGCCTAATTCAAGGCGCAGGGGAAACAAATGACTTCATCCGTCAGTCGAGATGAATGTGGACTGTGGAATGTGGCTTGTGGCTTGTGGAATGTGAAATGTGGCATGCTGAAAGCAGTCAAGCAGCCACATTTAGAGGCAGTGCAGCCTTTTGAACATGCCACGCATTTTATTCTTATTCTGGTCAGGCCATCAAATGTCAATTTGTGGGCAAGTTTATTGCACACTCAACTGCAACATTGTTGGCCCATAGCTGCCGTCTGTCTGTCTGCGTGCCATTTCTAAAGAATTTCACGACTTCTGTGTCAACATGACAGATTGAAGCGCACTCCGTGAACGGAGCCCAAACTGTCAATAAATGTGAAAAGTGCTTGTCAATAGTTGTCAAACGAGGCCAATGTGGCACGTGTCTAGCTGCCACTTGCAACACGATACCCAGCAAAAATACATCTCGCGCAGTTCAAAAGCAATTTTGTTGCCAGTCTAATTGACGCTGGCCAAGGACATAGGCATGGTCTAGCTAAGTAGACCGGCTGCCAGCTGCCAGTTGAAGAGCTGAAGAGGGACTGCAGCTAGACACCAACGCAATCCTAGCATTCCAGCAATAATTTATGCTATAAGAGCAGACGCTTAACTCTGACTGGATTCCAGTACTATATCATGCTAGGCCACTCGGAACTCTCGACTCTGTGTGACCTGTGTGTGTATCTTACATCAGTAGCCTTTTCCTATACTATCATGGGAAACCATTCAGAACTCTCTACTCGGAGTATAGCAGCCAGTTTCATTTATGAATAGACCTTCGCCTCCCGCAATAATTTATACTATACAGGAAAATCAATTATACTATACATCAAATCATAGCTCGGAAATCTTTACCCTTACCCTTTACCCTTTCGCGGAAAATATTTTCTTAAAGAGCTCCGAAGGATCAGTCAGTCTAGCTAGCTTAGACTGCTGCACACATTCTATTCCCTTCAGTCGACACTTCTTCACTCTCTCAAGCCAAGCCATTTAAGTAGGCCAGAGCTCACTTTCATTATACTAAAAGCCATATCTTATATCCTACGACTTATCATATTGTTGTATACCATTCAGCTAGGCATACAGCCGACAATTTACATGCTGCACTATAATCTACCTACTCAGCCCAGCTGGCTTCCGTCATTCAAGTTCTTAGCTCACTTCCACTCTATAAGGAGCACAAACGTTTGATGGGCAAACTTGCATCCCACACTTTATGCGCTCCGCTCCTCAGCCCGCTGCACCCACTTCGCCATCCTTTTTTCCGGCTGTCTGTCAACATGGTTGGCACGCGTAGAAAAACAAATCACGCCCAACATCAAAGCCCATAAGCAGTGTCCTTAGCCGAGGCTCATAAATATGCAGGCTCATGTCCTGAGTCGGCACGGGTACGGGCCCAGCCCGGTCCGACCCGTTACCAATGTGCTTTTTCCGATAAGGCGCAACGTGGCGTATGCGCAATATTCCACACTTTGCACTATGCCACCTACGCCGAAATATGCTTGGGGCGTGTGTAGTTCGCTTTGTGGCCAGGCACCAAATGGAGCTTGTTAAATGGCCGGCCAATAAACCGAAACGAGGCTAACTGCTTTAAAAGCCCGCGGCAAACGCGCTGCAGCAGCCAATTGCCCCATTACGTGCATTCACTCTTTGCTTTCGCTCTACCTCCACCTGTTTTTTTTAGTGCTGCAAGTTTTATTTATATTTGCACTCGATTTGCTGCAAAAAGTGCGTGAATCCGTTGCAAGTGGCAAGCAGAAACAGAAAAAAATACACTGTGAGGGCTCTTTGAATTGATACAGCTTTTCAATTGAGCCTTAGCGAGTGTTACTGAAGTAGACAGAGAGAGAGAGAGAGAGAGAGAGAGAGAGAGAGAGAGAGAGAGAGAGAGAGAAAGAGAGAGTAAGGGCTGGGAGATTGATAGACTGAAGCATGCTACTTAGGCTATGTATGTCATTTATATATTTTGATACAGCTCTTCAATTGAGTTTTATCGAGTGTTACTGAAGTAGACAGAGAGACAGAGAGAGAGAGAGAGAGAGAGAGAGAGAGAGAGAGAAAGCGATAGAGAGAGAGAGTGAAGGAGAGAGAACGAGAGAGTAAGAGACAGATTGATAGACTGAAGCATGCTACTTAGGCTATATATGTAATTTAAATAGATAGAGAGAGAGAGAGAGACAGAGAGAGAGAGAGAGAGAGAAAGAGAGAGAGAGAGAGAGAGAGAAAGAGAGAGAGAGAGAGAGAGAGAAAGAGAGAGAGAGAGTAAGAGTAAGAGCTGATAGATTGATAGACTGAAGCATGCTACTTATGCTATATAATTTATATGATAATTTTCCATTCGCTTGACCTGCTTTCTTTTATGAGACCGGCTCAGATATAGTTTGAGTAATGAGATGATTTTGCTCTTTGATGTCCTTTACTGTTGTGCATCATGTTGAGGTGGCATTCGCAATGATTTGCAATCTTCGACTGCAGCATAGCATAACAAATCAAAATCAAAGTGCATATCAATGCTAAAGCATCAGCTTGTGCTGAAGCCGTGGCGACCGGCTGGCACGTCCATTACTCATTCATTGTTGCCTTTGTGGTTGCATCAATTCATGTGATTGATACGTTGGCGCTACAGCTCGAGCGTAAAAAAACGAGCTGTAAAGCGAATTGGAAACCAGAGAAAGACTAGAGAGCTCTAGAGAGCTATAGAGGGCCCTGTAGTGCCAGCTGAATGGCAGCTGGAGGAAACTGTTCAAGTTCTTGTCAGTGGCCGGGATGTCTCTATGGCAACGCAGCCACATTATTTATTTTTCTTCACATAAATTATGGTTACGGTTACGGCTTCGGCCGCTTGGCAGGCAGTGAACCGACCCCAAACAATTTAATAAATTCAGCCGCAGGGTGAAATTGAAAATTCCACTGCTTCCAGCCACCCACAGGCAACAGCCAGAAGCCACTCCCAGGTCCACAATTGAGACGTATTTTTGATTGATGTCCACGGTCATATGCGCCTGTTGCGGGTGCCAGCGCCCAGGTTCCCATTTGCGGGTCCCAGGTCCACGTCAGGTCCAGGTTCAATTTCTGCTCCGTCTGGCAGCAAATGTTGTTTACTTAGTCGCTCTGTGGCTTCTGCCCTGCTTCGCTGTTATTTG